CCACCACCCCAATTCGCGCCCGAAGCCTCCTTTCCCCGCCCCCTCCGCCCCCCTCTCCCCGATGGCGACGCGGCCGCCGTCCTTCTTCGGCGGGCTCCGGGCGCGGGAGCTCAGCGGCGGCAGGGGCTCCGCGCGCGCCTCCGCGGCGCGGCTGCCATACCTCTCCGACCTTTCCTCCGACCCCGGCGACCGCGGCTGCGGGGTCATCTCCGTCGAGCACTCCGGCGACCCCGCCATCCCTTTCGCCGTCTCCTTCTGCAAGGTTCGTTTCCTCTCGTCTTAGTTAGATTTGGCGAGGCCGACGGCGACGGCGCGCTGATCCGTCCCCTCCCCCCTACAGGTCCCGCAGATCTCTCGCCTTCTGGCGGTCGCCGACGAGGACGGGTATGTCGCCATCTACGACACCCGCCGCCGCCTCCCCTCCAGATCCTCCTCCATTGAGAAGTCAGGTTAGCTTCGGTGCCCCCTTCTGATCTAACTAACTGGCATTTAGGCTATTTTGTGCTAAAATTGGGTAGTTCCAATCTGAAATCTTGCTCTTTTGTAGCTGAAACGAGGCTGTCCGATTGGGTTGCTCACAACAATGCCATCTTTGACGTGTGCTGGATCAAGGTAGCCACATTTGCCTGCAATATGCTACTACATCTGTTTTCTCTGTCTCTCAGCAGTGTATTTTTGTGTGTCTCTGGCAAAGTTAACCGCTGAATTATGTCATTTATATAGGAGGGATCCCAATTACTAACTGCATCAGGCGACCAAACTGTAAGTACAACATGATCAATCAGTTCATTTAATTTCTCACAACACCAACTATGTATCATTGGTCTGATTTTTTGTGTGCATAATCTCACTGTAATTGCCTGTACTGTATCAGGTAAAGATATGGAGCGTGGAGAATAAGAAGTGCCTTGGTGTGCTGTCAGGGCACACTGGAAGTGTCAAGTCATTGTCATGCCATTCTTCAAATCCTGGTCAGTTGTATATCTTGAACTTGGTTAACTTAGTTTGCGGCATGTCTGCATAGGTTCATGAACTCCATTGTTATTGTCTATGCAGATCTTATTGTTTCCGGTTCAAGAGATGGTTCTTTTGCACTTTGGGATCTAAGATGTGATCCCAAAACCCCAAATGGCCATGGTGAAGCATGCCTCATGTATGTCATCTAATGGCTACTGTAATCTAAATGCTCCTTTTTAACTGCAACCATCAAATTTCTGTAGCAATGTAGCATCTTTCGCTGAATTCAGCTGTTTTTACATGTTAGGTCTTCTGCTGTTGTCAAAGAAGCGCACAGTCCCACGCGAAGGAATCGGACAAGGGCTCGAGCAAAGGTATTGAATTTGCATAGAATCTTTTTGGCTGGGGACTGTACATTTCCGTGGGTTCAGTTGCTGATATTGGTCATCTTTAGGGAGCTTCAACAAGCATCACATCAGTTCTGTATCTGAAAGACGATATCTCCATTGCTACTTCTGGTGCTGCAGACAAGTAAGGCGTTGGCCCATCCTATTTATTCTGCACTTACTACATAAGTTAATATAGTTTACATGGCTAATTATGCATGCCAGTGGCATGTTTCAATTATGAACGCACCACTTTTAATACAATGCACCTCTGCTGTAGTTTGATTTTATCTAACTCTTAAAATGTATTCCAGCGTTGTGAAATTTTGGGATACACGGAACCTTAAAGCGCCCATCTCCAACAAAACCTCTCAATCAACAGCACAACCTTCGGTAAGCAAGCAGCTTGCAAACTGCAACAGAATGCATTTGTAATTCAGTTTCAAGGCTAACAGGGAATCCTTTCATTCAGAAGGAGGGGGTGACACATGGGATCTCTTGCTTGTCTCAAGACTCGTATGGTGCGCATATTGCTGCGTCATGCATGGATCACAGGTGAGAATAATATTTGACCACTACACAGAACTGCAAAAAACTGATGTCACTGGAGGGAATTGCTTCTGACTTCATAAGCTTTCCAATTTCAGGATCTATCTGTATAGTACTCTCCACATGGACAAGGGTCCAATAAAGACTTACACTGGCAGCAAAATTGAGTCTTTCTTTGTCAAGGTGAGTAGCTAACTGGTTTAGCCTTCTCTTCCAGCTGCATATTCTTAGTTTCTTTCATGTGTTTTATTTAACACCTGCTTTGGTGCTTGAATACAGTCTGCTATTAGTCCTGATGGGACTCATATTTTAGGCGGTTCGAGCAATGGCAATGTTTACTTGTGGCAGGTATTTGTTGCATTCCTATTACCTTTTCTTTTACATTTCATACACTGTATTCATGTTAAATTGCTAATTCCTTCTCACTTATGTAGGTGGATCAGCCTGAAAATGGGCCTATAGTTCTGAAAGGCCATGAGGGTGAAGTCACTTCAGTTGACTGGTATGATCTATCCAGAATGGCTACTTTTTAATGTCTTACTGTTACCATAGTGCTCATGTTGCAATGCCAATTTTGCAATTTCAGGTGCTCTTTGGAGGTTGGAAAGATAGTATCATCATCTGATGATTCCACGGTGAGTCTTGTTAAAAGTTTACAAGTTTCATCTTAAAGTTGCCTTGTCAAACACTACAACAAAATGAACCCAGTCATCTCACCATGATTAGGGGCATCTATAATATTTGTTGTCATCTAATCTACAAATGGAAAGAACAAGAGTTTGGTTAGGAACTTGAAAACTGCTACTGACAGCCTGACACTTTGTTCTGTGCATCAGGTTCGTGTATGGAACACCAAGAAAATAGACTGCACCAACATTAGTTCCCCAACAGTCATCCGTAAGAGGGCAACTGCTCCAAACATCGACTGCCCAAGATCGGCTAGCCATGAGCGAGCGACTAGTTCAAGAGATGTAGCAGCCTGCACCAGTGCTGACAGTGAATTGCCAACCGGTTCACACTCACCCCTCCGGCCAAGAGTACTGGAGTTTGGCACGCCTGAGTCTGCGAAAAAGAGAGCCTTTTCGGTATTTCGGGAGGAGGCCTTGGATACTAGGAACAGCCCAGGAGCTCAAATGAGCAGTCCCTCTTCAGTCCTGAACCCACCGCCTTCGCTGAAAAGGAAAACTATCCGGGACTACTTTGGCAGCAGCACATCTTGAAGTCAAAACTTTCTGACAAATAAGACAGTATCATGGATTCTTCTGAGCTGCCCTGAGGAGCTTTCTTAACTTATGGTGAGAATCTTGTTTTTCTGCAAGAACTTACTCTGCTGCTAATTGACAGTTCGGCATGCTAACTCATTACTCTCATTTTTCTTCTACGCAGGCCAAGCTTGTTCAGCGGTTACGGGACCTGCAACTTTTGGAAAATCCCTGTCTTGCTGATCTGGTCATATGCTGATGATTGATCTGATGAAGTGCCGTTGTACATGATATATATTGTTAAAACCATCTGCCTTTTCTCTTTGTATTTTATTTCCTCATTGAGCTTGTTAGGTTGTGACTTGAGGAAATCTTGTTATTAGTAACAAAATTAAAGAGATCTCTGTGAGATTTCCCTAGTGCATTGTTAGTAATTAAAGAATGATCTAGTAAAAATCAATGTTGACAATTATCTCTTTGAACATGAGAGTAAAGGAATTTGGACTTGTGGTTGGTTCCTGGCTATAACGCCTTCCATGAGTTCTGTGCTGTGCATAGCAATGTCATATATTGTTTGCCTTTAGGCTGGCCAATGTTGGTCAGCTTATAAAATGATCCATGGGCCATGGTCAATAATGGAGATTATTTTGGCATGGCTGGAATTATTAAGAAATATATTTTTACTTGTTTGAATTAAATGCATGAAACCTGCAATCTTTTAATGCCTCTGGAGCTTGCAAAAGAACATATCAATCTGGACTTATGGTCAATAGTTGAAACTATCTGGACACTTTGACCTGCCCTTACCATCAACAAGCTTTGCTCAAAATATCTTAGAAATTTGAGGAAGTACTTCACTGCTAATAGCTACTAGCTTAATGCACATATTTTTCTCAGGGATCACAATCATATTGTTTGAACATAGGCCTGATTTGGTTATGCATCTTTCCATGCCTGACCAAGCTCTGACCTAGCCCATGCCGCTCCTATGGTCACTACATTTTCGGTACACAGAGTTTGTTCATGCTTCCAGTCAAATGCCCATGTCACATCAACATCCCTTGTATTACTACCTAATAACCAAATTTTCATACTTCATTTATACGTAAACATATTTAGTTTAGAAAACATAGTTGCAAGAAAGCTCTAGCTATATTTCTTTAGCAAGAGCATGCCATATTCATTGTGTTGTTTAAAGACACGCTCCTAATTACGATGAAGTCTGAAAAATACTACAACACAATCCAATCTGTGTTAGAGTTGTGTCGAATATTGTGTACAAGGTAGGTTACAGTTGGACTAAGAGTTGTATTGTGTTTACATAGGATGTGGAGCTGTGTCCTAATAGGACACTTGTATCCTAGGCCTCTCATATATAGCGGGGGTAGACACAGGATGTAACCTATGCCAACATAATAGCATAGGCACGCAAGGGGGAGCCGGCGCGTGTGCCGGCGCCCGGGTGGCCGGGTGCGGTTTTGTGACGGTGTCACGGGAAGGAGCGCCCGTAGTCAGGCCCCGGGGATGTAGTCATATCGGTGAACCTCGTTAACAAATCTCGGTGTCGTGCTCGTGTGATTGCTTGGTCCTCGGATGATCGATGAAGTGCCTTGAATTTAATTCTAACAAGTGGTATCAGAGCAGCAATCGGACGTGAGCACACCAGCAAGAAATCTGCTACATTCTAACAATCTGAATAAAGAAGAAAGCACACCAGCAAGAAATCTGCTACGCCCTAAAGGGATCAAAAGCTGTTTCATGGGTGACACAAGTTTTCTATGAGGGTGACACCGCAACAAGATTTAGCATAGCGATTTTGAATTTTGGACCCCGATTGTAAGGGAATCGAGGGAGACAATAAGGGTGTACAATGACACGTAAGAGGTTGGGGATCGTGAGCCTGCTGTGCTCCTTGGTAGCTGGCTTGAAGCCTTGTGCTCGTGTTTATATAACCACTCTCTCACTTGGAATATTATAGGGGGGAGAGACATCCCATAGAGCCATACAAACTCGAAGTTTCAGGTGAGTTTGAGGGATCTCAAAAGGTTACAACAATGCCGAGAGTAAGGGAGCTTCGAGGTGTCTTTATCTTTGACTTGAACCGGTAGTCGAGCACTTATCTCGTCAAAAGAAGGGGATTCTCTAGGCAGCCTTCTCTTTGATCCAAGCCACTAATCAAGATGCTTTTCTCGTTGCTTCTCCTAACATAAGAGTAGGTCATGCTCCACAATGCAACTGGATTTATTTAAGAAACATCTATATGTCAAGATACCCTCTAATTTCACACCGTAAATACTTATCTAAGATACCCGAATATGCACTTTGGACCTTAGGCTCCACCGAGCCCTTTTCCTTTTCTTTGAAAAACCACCCCATATATTAATTAAGAAAATATCATACTACCGTTCATTACATAATTTGTCAAGCTGGAGGGAACACTCCCAACTTATAACCCATCAGTCTAGAGTTTAAACAAAAAATTGCAAGTTTCATGAGAAACTCTGTTGTCGTCCTATGTCTCCTATTTAATCTTCACATATCCTGCTTTTCTTTTGGGGAAATAATCAAAATACATTTTAGAAGTTTCAATTTTTTGTTGGAAAAAACGTCCCACATGGTTATAGAGATGTATTCTACATATGTGTAATATTTTGTTTGTAAATAATTTAACACGTGATTTAGAAAAATACATAGTTTTGGAAAGAACAAATAAAACATCTCTTCATAAAAAGCGATGAAAGTAAAATTTCAGAAACTTTTTATAGCTCACACTTTTTTTTTGTAAAAAAATCTCCATTCTATTAATAATATGTAAAAACAATACAAAATTCTCAAAGGTAAAAACAAAATACAACTAGGTACACGAACCAACTAGCGACAACAACAATCACTAGAGCAAGCCGAATGTGCGCCATCTCATAGCCTTGCTTCGTGATATCTCCAGCTAGTATGGTGCCTACTAGATGCATATAAATTGGGCCCGAAACACAAGGGCTTTGTAGTACATGACAAGTTTCCCTCAGTCGAGAACCAAAGTATCAATCAGTGATTTTTTGCAACACCAATGATCACCATATGCACTCAACTAAAAACCTTCTATTGGTCTCCAACTTAGAGCATCTCCAGCCGCGCCCCCAACAAGTCCCCCAGACAACTTTTTCCGTGTCGGCGCCGAAAAAACGCCCCAGTCGCGCCCCAAGACGCCGAAATCCGCCAGTTCGGCCCGTTTTTGGGCCGAACCCGGCGCACTAGGGGGGGGGGGGCGCTCGGGGGCTCCGGCGCAAGTGAAAAGCTCGCCTGGCCCACACTGTCAGGCGAAAAGTCAAGCCTATCGTCCAGATTCGCCTCTCACCCCCCGCGCGCTCGGCCCCCAACTGACTGATCCCGGCGCCGCCCACTGCCCACCACCGCCAGATAGCCCATTTCCTGCCAGAAAAAGAGTAGAGGTTTTGCCAAGGCGGCCTCTCCACCATCGGTTGGGCGAGTTTTTTGGTGTTTCGGCCACAGAGGGGCAGTGTAGCGGCGGGTGCGCGCCCATCGCGCCCACAAGGTGTTCGGCGATTTGCGTGCCTCGGCAATGGACTCGGACGACGAGGAGGCGCTCGCCATGCTACTGGAGGAGGAAGCCGAGGCCGACGTCTAGGAAGAGGAACATCTCATGGTCCTCGCCGCCCTCGTCGGCCTGCTGGCGAGCAATGAAAAGCCGCGGCGAGGTGGCTCGGCGTCGGGGTGGATTAAAGCAAAGAACCGGCATCGTCTTGAAGGCTACTGCATGCTCTACTCTGACTACTTCGCCGACGCTCCACTGCATGGTGACAAAGTATTTCGGCGCCGTTATCGGATGAGCCGAAAGCTTTTCCTCAGGATTGTGAATTCCATCTGGGAGTTCGACAGCTACTTCAAGTGCAAGAAGGATTGCACCGGCAAACTTCGATTCACCTCAATCCAAAAGTGCACGACAGCGATGAGGATGCTTGCATACGGAGCTCCCGGTGATTCACTCGATGACTATGGGCGCATGGCCGAGTCCACCACCATTGAGTGTTTCTGCAAGTTCTGTCGGGCAGTGGCGGCAGTGTTTGGACCGCAATACTTGTGAACACCCAATGCGGAAGACACTGCTCGGATCCTAGCACAGAATGCAGCAAGAGGATTTTCTGGGATGCTTGGAAGCATTGACACATGCATTGGAAATGGAAGAATTGCCCATTTGCTTGGCAGGGGATGTATAAAGGCGCCAAAGGCGGTTGCTGTGTAATACTTGAGGCGGTGGCCACACAAGACCTCTGGATTTGGCACTCCTTCTTTGGTATGCCAGGAACTCACAATGACATCAACATGCTGCAGTGCTCCCCTGTCTTTGCCAAGCTTGTTGAAGGCCATTCTCCTCCGGTGAACTTCGAGGTCAATGGACGGCACTACAACAAGGGGTACTACCTAACTGATGGCATGCATCCGAGATGGTCTACATTTGTGAAGCCTATTTCAAATGATGTGCCAGGAGGCAAGAAGTCCCACTTAGCCCAGGTGCTGGAGGCTTGCAGAAAGGATGTCGAGCGGGCATTTGGTGTGCTCCAATCTTGATTTATTGTTGTCCGATACCCTGCTTAGACCTAGTCGAAAGATCAAATGTGGGAGATCATGACTTGTTGTGTCATCTTGCACAACATGATCATCGAGAGCGAGCAGGAAGAGCCAGTATTTGACACCGAACCATACTACAGGCAGGGTCCTCTAGCCGAAGTAGATCACCGGCTACCGGCAACCTGGACTGCCTACCTCAATATGCGTCAGGAGATCTGAGACCCACAAGTGCATCATCAACTGCAGCAGGATCTGGTGGAGCACCTATGAAGGATCGAGGGCGACACCTAGCTCGACGTGTGATGAAATATGAGTTCTTATTTGTTGAACTATATAATTTGTATTGAACTATTTGTTGTTGCACTATTTTGTTGAACTATTTGATTTTCTGTGATGAACTATGTGCTAAAAAATTATTTATGTTGAGAATTCAA